CCACTCGGTGATGTCGCGGGTCGCGGCTACAGGACGGTATTCAGGTATTTTTGATGTTGCAGAGCCCTTTATCTCGGTTCCCTTAAGACATTGGTGTATATGGTACTAAGAAAAATTGCTTATGTTTTCAAGATCTACACGTCGTGTAAAGGAAAACCCCAACTTTGCGGATACCCTGTATAACTGACTGATTTAAATTGCGCGCCATTTTTGATACACACATTTCAGTAGGTGCTGCCGTAGTAGTGGTGCGCTTCACGATCCCACAACGCGTCCGTAATAATGTGCCCAGTGTCAACCCCATTCGTCAGTTGGTGGGTAAATTTGAACAAACAGGAGAAGTTAAAGACTTACCAAGGTCGGGCCGTGTTCGACCTGTTCGTACCCCAGAAAATATCAAAAGAGTTCGTGAAAGTGTAATGGAGCGCCCTGAGACGTCTACCAGACATCGTTCTCAAGAACTGGGTCGCTCGTCATTATGCACTATTTTAAAAAAATACTTGCATTTGCTGCCATACAAAATTCAGTTAACCAAATAACTACAGCCTAGTGACCATGGAAGTCGCCGACAATACAGTCATGTAATATTGAAGCTTAATACCCAAATGAACGATTTTTACCGACAACTGATAATGAGCTATGAAGCCCACTTCGATATGAACGGATTTGTTGATAAGCAGAGTTGTCGAATCTGAGCATTAGAGAACCCTCGCGTCATTCATCAATGACCACTCCATCCTTGTCGAGTCACAGTTTGGCGCGGTATTTGGTATGGAGGTGTGATTGGACCCTACTTCTTTGAAGACGTTGCAAGTAATTCTCTTACTGTTACTGGCGAGCGCTACCGTGATATGGTGCAAAACTTTCTGGATCATCACATCCAACAATTTAACCTGCGAAACATGTTGTGGTTCCAGCAGGACGGAGCAACTTGTCACACAGCTAGGGAAACAATGAATCTTTCACGAACAATATCTCTGGGATGTTCAATTTCTCGATTTGGTGATGTCAACTTGCCACCAAGGTCACCAGTTTTAACGGCTCCTGACTTTTTTTGAGGAGATTTTTAAAAAATAGGGCTTATGTCAAGAAACGAAATAGTGTAGAGCAGCTTAAGAACAATATTACGGAAGCGATTGAAAATATTCCACCCGAAACCTACCAAAAAGTGATCGAAAATGTAATCAAGAGTGCGGCTTGTAGAGGCGGACAATTGTCTGATATTATTTTCCATACATAATCTCTAAGTTTCAATAAAAGATTAAGATGAGAAAAATAAACGTATTTTTTTTTATTTCACAAATATTCAAGATACAAACCAGTCACTTACATATCGGCCACCCTGTAACCTGTGGTTTTCATGTTTATTATAAGACTCCATTGTCTAGCCGAATCAAGATCACAAATATGTTTCGATGTCTGTTTACTGTACGACGTTTCGACAACCACTGTGATCTTTTTCAAATACTTTTGATTCCGTCAGACAATGGCTATGTTGTGATATGGTATCTAACAGATGAGTAATACTACCGGGATCACATATTTCTGAATAATAACACGTCCTTTACTATTATCAAAGATGCAACACTTACAAGCCCTTACCTACTACAGCTTCCAGGACCCAATTTTGAACCCTACAAAAATAAAGTTTGAGGGATTTTATTTTTTTATATTTTTTGTCATTAGCTCTACCGTCACTGGACCGATTTTCAAAAACTACAAAGCTTTTGCTTTCTTGTCATAGTAGTAACCTTCTGTGAAAATCCGGGCGGTGCTTTCCAAGCTATAGACTGATTGAGTGACATGACAAAAAACAGAATATTTCATTTCCGAAATTTTCTGCTGCCACACTCCCTACACGGTGGTGCGAAGACTAAAAGAAGTGCTATTATAGTGTTTGGTAGAATGGATGCCTCAGGTAAAAATTTTATCTCTTGTCAGGGGCGGCTGGCCCTTAAGTTCTGCAGAGTTGCAGAACTGCCAAAAGTTTTGTCTTAACAGAAAAAAGCAGTAGCAATTTGATCATTATTTATTTTCCATGTTATCTCACAAATAGAAACAATACCGACAACGCTGCCCCCGCAAGACAGCGTCGAGTGTTTAGTATTGAGAAAGCATTATAATCGACCAATTGTGTACTTGCCATTTTCGTCGCGACCACAGCGTAACATTATTCATGGGCCACTTGAAAAGGGTCTGTGCACTATTTCGACACAAGCCGCACGCGCTTGCTTTTGTCTCTCTCTACAAAATCAAATGCGCCATTTAAGCATAAGCATGTGCTGCACGTCATGCAGATCCGTACAGATCTAATGCGAAGTACGATATCTGATTGGTCGGTCGGTGCTGGGTATAAAATTTTGCGGAGCATTTGAATTGGCGCTACGGGGCCACGACGAAACCGAGAGCTCCCAAAACCCGGAAATATTTCGTGGACCGATTAATTTTTCTGCTGAGCTTGATACAACCTTATGCGAACACATGAAAAATGCTTCAATATTTAAAGGAACCTCGAATGAAATACAAAACGATCTACTGGATTGTATTCTTGAAGTTTGTCGTGAAGAAATAATAAAACAGATTAACAGAGCCTCGTATTTGGCGATAGTAGCAGATGAAACAACGGACATTTCGGGGAAAACCCAACTGGTAACAATTTTCAGATACGTATTTAACGGCGAACCAGTAGAACGTTTTTGGAATTATATGAATCCTGAAAAATGTGACGCTGATACTCTCACAAGACATATTTTGAGCGTCGTAGATCCATTAATAGGAAATTTCCCTAACACACTGATTTCACAAAGCTATGATGGTGCCGCGGTAATGAGCGGACATAATGCTGGAGTACAGGCAAAAATTAAACAAAGATATCCATTTGCTCACTATATGCATTGCTATGCGCATCAGTTAAACCTGATTATGCCCCAAGCTGCTTCCGCAAATGCTCAAGTTCGGGTGTTCTTTGGGGATTTGAAAGATATTCCGGGATTTTTTAATAATTCTCCTCAACGCGTAGATGTAATGACCAGAATTGTGTGGAAAAAAATTCCCCAAGGAGCAACAACTCGTTGGAATTTTAATATTCGAACAATAAATGTAGTGTTTGAGAACAGAGAATCACTCATTGAATGCATGGAAGCAATAGAAGAAAGTTTCACTAATGAAACCGTTCGCAAGGCAGCTTGCGGTATTCGTCGAATGTTAAACGCAAGTTAAAACGGCTATCGACAATTTTGAAAAATGTATTGTCGATGTGAGAAATAAAATTGATGACATAATAAATGAAGCCAAAAGTATTTGCATTGAACCCCAAGGCAACAAAAGGAGACGACGTAATACTAGCAGTCACGATCACCGAGTTGCCGCATTAGAAGTATGCGGCAATATAGTGAATTCTGCAAATGACAGATTTCAATTCAAAGATCATTTGGTAGCCGCATCCCTTTTTTCCGCGAACACTTTGGAGAATACTGTGGTAAGTTTCCTGATGACAAGTTGGAAACTACCTGCTTGGCTTATCCCGAATTAGAAAAAAGTCATTTAAAGACAGAGTTGTCTGTTATTTATGCACGGAATGATTGCCGAGATTCACATGGGACTGTTTCTTTTGAAATTTTTGATAGCAAATAGTTTGGAGGAAACACTAAAAGAAACAAAAAATCGATTATAAATTATTGTTACAACCCCTATGTCAACATCAGAGGCTGAGCGAAATTTCTCAACATTGAAAAGAATCAAGACTTTTCTTCGTAATACTACGATCCAGGATCGCCTTACAGCGTTGTTGATGCCGTACATTGAAAACAAATTTATTTCGACCATGGAAAATTTCAACGGGGAGGTGATCGACAAATTTGCTGCCAAGAAGGAGCGCAGGATCAAACTGACATAAAAAATAGGTAAGTTCGGATTTGCAGAACACCTGTTTTATTTTGCAACGAGCCGCCACTGTCTCTTGCTAAGACCTGGGCTAGGAATTTTTTAACCAATGGTTGGTACTTATGAGTCATATAATTTTACAGTATTCTCTGCTTTCAACCGAATTATTATTATAAAAGCTCAAATCTTGATTCGTTGTTATCTCAAGAAGTGAAAATACACGAAACTTCTTAGTATCCCATACGTATGATGGAACATACTTTAAGATGTTCATCTTAAAAGCCTCGCCAGACTTCCTCCCGTCTATTTACATCCACCTTCATCTTCCATAAAAGCATCGGAAGCGGCCACAGATAGACTGAACGACCAAGACGGATTTTTGTAATGTAATCGTTTGTTTACCGTGCAGTAAAAACAATCCGTCAGTCATCTGTCTTTGCTACTGTTCGCTCTTAGCGGGAATGCCGCCGGTTTATAATGCTCGCAGCGGGATGCCGCATAAACGCGTATTTACACATTCAATTAATGGATTTGTTGGGAATGCCAATCGCTGAGGAAAAGTATGAGCTAAATTGGTGCTGACGCTATACGTATAGCCGGTGACACAAAACAGTCGAGTCTCGGGTATCCGTTACAAAAATGGCCGTAAGTAGATTAAATTGCACTTGCCATCTTATGACGCCACCAGTTCATAAAGGATCATAGTCTAATCATAAAAAATACCACTGGTTTGCGAAATAATTGTAAAGTCTGGTTTTATTGCTGCAAGTTGTTACTTAAAACATAGACGCATAAAATGGGTACACAATTTTTTATGGGAAAACTTTTTATTCGACAACAAAGAATGAGAAAACGTGTTTCAGTCGATGGTGTTGGTAGGAACGTTAAAACTCGTCATATAAGATTTTTAGGTATCTATGAGACCTACAAAATGAGACCACACGTAAGACGATCCGACTAATAGCAAAAAAGTTATGACCGAAAACCGAGGCAAACTGCAGGTTTTGGCACTTGTTGGTAATGCAACGTTGGTTTCTCGCAGATAGGGGAAGGTGGGGCAAGATGGGGTAGCTAAGGATTGATTTGCAGTTATAGCTAAAATTCGTACTTTTTTTGAATATTTTTTATTTTATGGTATTCATTGGTTATAATAGCCGAAAACAAATTAAACATTTATTAATTTTTTTTTGAACTGGGAAAACTGAAAAAGTAAGATTTTCCCCGTCTTGCCCCATAGGTGGGGTAAGATGGGGTTTATAATATGTCAAAATGAAAAGAATTAAACAACATTTAGCTAAAATAAAATTGGATTGCCTAATAAAACTTTTTCTTGGGTTTACACAATAAACAGATGTGCGTGGCTTCATCGTCATCATCCTCAACGTCTGCGCAACCGCAATCCGCTCATTTATTACACTCTATACAGTTCATCCAGCCTTCTACAGATTCGGAATATAATCCACTGCGATAGAGACATGAGGGGTCGTCCTCATCGTCGCTTTCGTCAGTTGACTCATGTCTGGGACGCTTTCCTTTTTGTCTTATCTGATTTTGCTGTTCTTTTTCTTCAGTTTTTGTTTTTCCTCAATTATTTTCTGTTTTTCTTCTTTCTTCACTTCGATGCTCCTTTTGACTTTTAGTTGCTCCTTCTGTTGTTTTTCTTGTAATTCCTTCTCAAGCTCTTCCTTATAATGCCAAGAGGTTATAACTGCAGTCTTCCCTTTTTTCCCAGTTTGGATTCTGTTTTTCTTTGTGGTAACCGGTGGCGGCAGTAGCTGCTTAGGACTAACTAGTGTAAATGACGTATTTTGGGTTGGCGAATGAATCTGCTCCTCTCGAATTGTGTTCCAAAATGAACAACCTGGCTGAGGACTGAGACTGTGTGCTTGATGATTGCGTCGATGTATTAGGATTGCTCTCATTTAATCTTGGGTTTGTACTTTTCGCTGGATTTTGGAGAATATTAGCTTGGGGTAATTGATCCTGTACTAAATTTATATTAGTGGACTCAGAAGCGATAAAATCGTCTTCAGTGAAGACAGTAGGATCATATGGCCAGATTTTGAACCCAGAGATGCTTTTAGTTTTTGTCAATTGTCCATATTTTCTCTAGCCAATTCTACTTTTCGTTCCAACGTAGTTTGAGGAACTTCAAAAGATTTTGCAGCTAAGTAATAACCCATTTTATTTTCCACTACAGCTAAAACAGCATTCTTCATCTGCTCTTCCGTCCAACCCCCTCTATCGGTTTTACGAACGTAATTTCGCACCATTCTGAAATGTAAAAAATATTGGATAAATCTTAATCGGTACCACCCTATCTTGCCCAATCACGCCCCTTCCTGCATTATATAAAAAAAATAAAAGCAACATAAAAATAATCGAGTTATTTAAAAAAAACAAAAGCTCACCTTAATTTACAATGTCAAAAGCTTCCTCAGTACCCAAACTTAGCACTGTATACAAATATTTTGTAACAGTTTCACGCTTGTAAACAAATGGGAAAATAATAACGTAACCTTAAAAAACACGTGAACTAAAATAAGCAACACGTTGGCGTCGTTTCATGTGTAGTTTTCGAATTTAACACCTTGGATTGGCGGAATAATTCGCGTACCCCATCTTGCCCCACCTTCCCCTACTTGAAATTCTTCAAATTCGTAGGATTCGTACTTCTAAATAACCACAACAAAATTGGAGTAGATTGGTCAAGTAGAATTTGAGAATTTATAATTGTTTATCTCAAAACACCGGTTTTCCGGCCATCACTACTAGTTTAACAAGCAACATACAGGGTTAGTTCAAACGGCATTTTATAGCTAAATACACTAGTTTACCCTGCCGATATGAATCGCAAGCCATTCCAAAAGATAAATACTATTTTTATTCCAAAAAGAATGGGTTGCGTTTTTTCTTCTAAACAAATTCAAACATTTCGTATTTGTGAGTAATTCGCAACAAAAGATGATAGACACATCTGCTTTGATGTAAAATATGAATAGTTATGTATGTTTCTCGAAATTCGTAGCGCATTTGTTCAATTACTCACAAATACGTAGTGTTGGAATTTGAAGAAAAAAAGCTTAACCTTTGTTTTTCGCATAAAAATAAGATTTATCTTTCGGGATGGTTTGTGATTCATATCGGCAAGGTAAGCACGTGTATTTTGCTATTAAATGCTCTTTAACGAACCCTGTATATTGCTCAATAAACTAGTATTGATGGCCGGAAGACAGGTGTTTTGGGAGAAACAATTGGAAATTCCCGAAAAACTACTTGATCAATATACGTCAATTTTGTTATTGTTATTTAGAAGTATGAATCCTACGGATTTGAAGAATTTCAAGTAGTTGCGTGAAATTATCGTCGCATTAGAAACAAGTGCCAAAACCTTCATTTTGCCTCGTTTGTCGGCCATAACATTTTTGCTATTAGTCGTATATTTTTACGTGTGGTCTCATTCTGTAAGTCTCATAAATACCTAAAAATCTTATATGAAAAATTTATTCGTTCATGTCAACACTTTCGATTGAATCCCAAAAAACAGGTTTACTCATTCTTTGTTGTCAAATAAAAGCTTTTCCCACAGAAATTCGTGTACCCATTTTATGCGTTCATGTTTTAAATACCGCTTTGAACAACTTGCATCAACCAAACCAGACTTTACTAATATTTCGGGAAAATTTTCTAATATGATTAGATAGTTAGGCCATATGCTACGAACATACATATCAGAGAAATTAAATAAATCAAGTCAGTGAAACAGGTTCATACAATTAGCACAGTCAAAGCCCATGTTTTCATCTCTATCTTGAAGAGTAATAGTTCCGACATGGTAACTTTCCTCACATATCTCAACCCATTCAAGTTCTATTTTCTCAAAAAAGGTAGCCTATGTCCGTCTCCACGATCTAACCTATATACAGGGTTACAGGAAAAGTCGTGCTAGATCCGTTAAGGGCGTGTAGTACCCATCATTTCTGACTTATTTCATTATGAAACACCCTACCCTAAACTTAACCCTTTTCGAGATATTCAACTTTTAATGTTTTTAATGAAAATTGCCGATTTTTAGGCTACTAAATGTATTTATTTTTATTTTGTGTGTGTTATTATTACTATTATTGCATTTTAACATGTGTAATAAGGTGCTTTAGGACGTCAATCATTAAAATAGTCCATAAGTTAATTGAATAGGCCGTAGTAGATAAGTGAATGTTAAGAAATTGAAAAAAATATCAGAAAGTTTATTTTTCTCGAAGGGATATCTAAAAAAAATATTATGGCAATTGTTCGGCAGATGTGTTTTAAAATATCTATGTTTTATCAGCTATCTAACGAGGTATAACAATCTAGGATTTGTATTACATTTCGTAGGAAAAAAGTAGTTGGGACGCTCCAGTAGCAGTTCCCACGCCTATTCTCCTTCAAGTTTAGACGCACCGTGCGAGCGAGACATGACGATTTAATGTGGGTGCGAATGAAAGAAAACATATTATAATAACCGGTTAGGGCTGGAAATCCAACACGGGATGTTGTTTTGGTTGTCAGTCTGCTTTTGTGCTTCGTACATAGTAGATGTGATATCGTTTTGCTCTTTTCCTCGACTTGGCTACGATTCTGGACTATTTCTTCTGATTTGTGAATACTGTGCTTGTTCACTGGACTCTGATTTGTACTTGTGATACGGAAGTGTTGAAGATGACGTCCTACACACCTGAGGAATATGCTGATATGCTTATTTGTTACGGATACTGCGATTGTGTATCTGCGCAAGCTCGCAACGAATACAGAACTCGCTTCCCCGGTCGTCGAGTGCCGGATGTGGCCGTTTTTAACAGAGTTTATCTAAGACTTCGAGAAACTGGCTCTGTTTTGAGACGAAATACAGACCTGGGAAGACCACGAATTTATGACAACGAAGAACTGCAGGACAATGAGATAGTGCAACGCTTTCGAGCGGATCCGACCATTTCCACTAATCGTGTTGCCCGTGATCTGGGACTTTCGCAATGGAGAGTGTGGTTTACAATGCATACTGCTGGCCTATACCCGTACCATTACACGCCGGTACACACTATTGAAGAAGGAGACCCCGCGAGAAGGTTGGACTTCAGCAGATTTATGCTAAATGCTGACGTAGAAGACCCAGATTTTCTAAGAAATATCTTATGGACAGATGAATCCAAATTTGATAACGATGGCATAACTAACTATCACAACGCCCATTACTGGGCCCCAAAAGTACTAAGGAATCCCAATAAGAAAAGAGTGGCGAGGTCCCAACGAAGATTCAGCGTGAATGTGTGGATGGGCATTATCTCCAACCATTTGATTGGACCTTACTTTCTCCCGGACAATCTAAATGGGGAAAATTACGAAAACTTCTTGAGAGGAGACTTCAGAGATTTGCTGGATGATCTGTCACTCAACTTGAGAAGGGACATGTGGTTCCAACATGATGGCTGCCCTGCCCATTTCAGGAGAAGTGTCAGAGACTGGCTGGACACAAATTATCCAAACAAATGGATAGGACGAGGTGGGCCGTTGCCATGGCCAGCAAGAAGTCCGGACCTAACCCCCATGGATTTTCATGTGTGGGGGTGCATGAAAAGTCTTGTCTACAGCGAGCCAAATCCAGTTTCGTCTGTGGAAGAATTAAGAGAAAGGATTGTCGATGCAGCAAATCAACTAAGGACAACGTTGACCACTGTAGTTGTAAAGACTGGTCTCCGTAGAAGGATGCGACAATGTATTAGAAACAGAGGCAGCCATGTTGAACATGAACTGTAGAGTAAGAAAAAGTTGTGTGAAAACCTGATTTAATAAATGATATTTCATGCTTACCTATTGTTTTATTTTACTTTTTAGGGCTAAGTATCAATTTTCTTCTCCACTGTCGCCTATGAAACTAAGTTTTTTCAATGCATTTAAATAAAATCCTAGATTGTTATACCTCGTTAGATAGCTGATAAAACATAGATATTTTAAAACACATCTGCCGAACAATTGCCATAATATTTTTTTTAGATATCCCTTAGAGAAAAATAAACTTTCTGATATTTTTTTCAATTTCTTAACATTCACTTATCTACTACAGCCTATTCAATTAACTTATGGACTATTTTAATGATTGACGTCCTAAAGCATCTTATTACACATGTTAAAATGCAATAATAGTAATAATAACACACACAAAATAAAAATAAATACATTTAGTAGCCTAAAAATCGGCAATTTTCAAAAAAAACATTAAAAGTTGAATATCTCGAAAAGGGTTAAGTTTAGGGTAGAGTGTTTCATAATGAAATAAGTCAGAAATGATGGGTACTACACGCCCTTAACGGATCTAGCACGACTTTTCCTGTAACCCTGTATATGCTAAAATTCATCAATATCAGTTAAGCCCTTTTGGCAGAACATACAAACATACACACTTCTGCTTTTATCATTAAACATATAGAATAAATGCACGTTGCGAATGCCTTATTTAGTCGGACCAGCAACTGTGCGCTTCCGCGTCAGATACTTAAAAAATTAGCCTATCTACTATGCAATTCCATACAATAATCTATTTCTGTACCATACGTTATCCAGATCCACATGGTTATTACATAATAAACCTACATGATGTCAAAAAAAATCGACAAAAGCGTCATCTATGGAGGAATGACTCGACGACACGACGCGCTCAATGACCATGCTGCAAGTCGGTTCCCCAGCCTGCTTTGTTGGTTGCAGAATGCCGAGTTAGTCTGTAGACTATATCTCTGAGAAGATGTGTCAAAGAATCGCATCCGTATGATTGTATGGTGATTCTGCATATTGGTCTGCAGGTGTATGAAAGAGACAACTATTACCAAATATGCTGCCCGTGAAGTGTATCTATTAGCTGTACCAGACGGGCTATTTGTGTATTCCTTTCTGGAGAGAGGTCGTCTTCAAAGTTATAAATTACAATTTTCTCCGGTTTTTTTGCGTTTTCAAAAACCTTGCATCGGAAGATCATTTTCTGTTGAAGTAAACTTATCCTGTGGCTGTCATGTTGATAGGACTTCATTGTCTGTCCGTCAGTTCAAGCCACATATGTTTTAATTAATACTTCTTCTACGTTTTGAACACCACAGTGACCTTTTTGAAGTACAATGACAATTAATGACAATACATTTGGATTATATGTCTTCAAGGTGACAGTTTTTCTTTTCTTCATTACTAACATTACTAACTTCGAAGTTGAGTCATTTATTTTAACAGGGAGTAGATCTGATCAAAAGTAAAATTAAAGTAACAAAGTTATAGCCCTTTAGAAGTTTGAGTACCGCCCTGTCTCAATAATAACATTATGTGCTCGTGTTTGGCAACAACGGATATAACCCGCCTTATCGGTTCATCGCATCGGAAACAAAAAAGCGAAAGAATTTGAAACGCGTATCACGATGTTTTTGCTACAATTTTATTCAGTTGTATTCAGTCAATGTGTCACTCGGTAACGCGTGAGTGAATAGTGGTGTTTGTTGCGTGGCTCAAACGAAATA